GTGTTAACAACTCACTTAGGTAGTGCGATAAGTATCGAAGGATTGCCGAAAACACAACTCACATATTACTACAGGCAGATCCACTGAAGCTGCACTCCACGCACTGATATTTAACATTGACCAAGTACTGGAATATAAAGAATATGCCGCGTGGGTGTTACTTAATCAATCTGGAGCATTCAATAATATATTAAAATATATTTTATTATCTTTAAAATATTAAAATGATATTTTAAACATCTTTGACACCACACCGAAACCCGATAACGGGTTGTTGGGACCATTTAAGTAAGTAAGTAAGTACTTATCTTTTGATTACAAGTCTTTTATTCTGTAGAAAGACACGAGCTAAACGGAATAAGCCTACATTAATAAAGACGCTCTGTAGAAGAACTTTCCAAAGAGGTGTTCTATCATCGCTTGTCTGACTACTTATGCAGATGCGCGATATATACAGAAACCTAGACGAGTACAGATTGAAAAAGGTGAAAACCAGGTGAAGTAGTTTAAGCACCTGTAAAGTTGCCGGCATCATTTTCAACTTAATATCGACACTATAAGGACTCGAAACCAGCAGTGACAAGTACCGGAAATGTAAGGACTTGAAAATCAATGAAATTGTGGCACATTTTCTCTGTTTTTGTGTGGCTCTCATGAAAACTTGAACAAAATTTTTGAAGCTATTAGTTTTGAGGGGAAGTTAGTTATTATTTTTGGAACTTTGTCCTTGATGTTGAAGTGAACTTTTTCGTAAAACTCGCTAAAGACATAAACACTTAAGAACTTTAATTTAGTATCACTATGGGCCAAGACTTTACCAAACGAAAAGAGAGCAGTTCAAGTCGCTTTTGAAACACTATTAGAAAGAAGTATTATAACGTTGTAGTGGATTCTTAGCTAAGAGCCTAAGGAAAAGCTGTGTCTTCGATGGAGTGAGTAAGTTGAGTTAGCAAAGGCTTTACTGAATGTATTAGGTAAAAGGAGGGATAGTGAAAAGCGATTTGGTCTCATGCCGAAAGGTTGCTAAAACCACTTAATTATGCAAGTTAGAGTAAGTTTTAAATATAGGTAAAAATAAGACGTTCAAAGGAAGAGTGAGATAAGTACCTAAAACAGAAGATATGAATAAATTAATTAAAACAACTTTTTTTTAGTTACTTTGTTATTTTTATACATATATAAATTAAGCAATATAAAAATTTTTTCGAAATCAATCTTTAAAATAAAAAATATTAAACGTTTTAATATTGAAAACGTTTTGGGAACAACTTTTCAACTTTTCTAACAAATTCGATAAAATCGTCAAAAAGTAAACTTGGTGCCTCCATTGCAATGAAATGACCACCTTTTCCATAATAGGTGCTATGAATTAAATTTGTGAATTTATCTTTAAGTTGAAAGTCCAAGAAATGCATAATATCATATTTAAAGCGTGCGCAACCAGTTGGAACGTCAGTCGGTACACGATCCATTTGTAGTCCCATATTAGCCTTGCTATGTGCCTCAGCGTATAAACGTTGTGATGTTGTGATGGAGTTTGTCAAATAATAAATCATTAAATTATCCAATAGAGTATCGATCTTATAACGCTTTGTCAGACCACCATCAGTTAAATTACGATAATTAGGATTAGTCCATGTAGAGAATTTTTCCAATATATACGCAGCTAAACCAACTGGATTATCAGTGAGAGCGTGTCCGATGGTGTCTGGTTTGGTGGATTGTATGTGAAAATAGCCACTTTCTTCAATAAGATAGCTTAATTTTTTTGATTGTGGGAAGAAAAGATCTCTAAATCCTTCCGGAGCAAAGAAACTTGGTAATAAGTTGGCGATAAATCCTTTTAGCGCAGCTTTTGGACTCAAATTATTGCACATATTAGAGTGATACCCTAAAACACTTTCAGGATATAATGTTGCAATATTTGCGCCAATCACTGAACCCCAATCACCGCCTTGAACGAAAAATTTTCTATAACCCAAACGTAACATAAGGTTTCGTATAATAACAGCTACTTGAGCAGGACCTAGGCCAGGCTTTGAAGAGCCCTGCAACACAGAACAAAATTTTAATTTGTTTATGATTAGTAATTTTATATATTATTATTACTTACTTGAGACCAGCCATAACCCGGTAAGCTTGGCACTATAACATCAAAAATGTAGTCGTCACTCTTTTTTGGTACGTGCAGTTTGTTTATAATTGAATAGAATTCCCTTACAGATCCAGGCCAACCGTGCAACAACAATACCGGATAATGTTTTTTACCCATTTTATTTTCATCATAGACCATCAAATGCAAAAAGTGCATACGCAATCTACTCGAATGGGGTATGAGATAATATAAACAATATGTTTTTTTAATAATCTAGCAGGTGGTATATACCCTTGAATTTCAGTTGTGAATTGGTTGAACTGCCAGAGGAACACCTCACGTTCACGCCACCGTGGTAAGTAATCATCTCGCCAGTAGTCAACAATTTCTTTTAAGTGGTGCGAATTGAAACCATATTGAAATGCTACTCCTTCCAATGGTTCCACAAGTCGTAACGTGCGGTTCAGCTGTGTGCGTAGGTCTTCGATAGTCTAAAAATTTTTTTAATTTATTTAAAATATTTTGGTTAAATAATACTTATCTAAAATAACTAAAATTGTACTTAAATGCTTACACTATCAGCAAACACAATTCGATTGTTAATAACTTCAGATGTGTTGGTCACATACTCTGACCAATCTTTCGGTCTCTTTCCATCGCCCCACCATTGATCAAGTGGCAGTTTTGGAGCAGGTACTGGGCCGAGTAAATTATTTATATTTTTATAGAGCAGGCTAAGCCCCATAATAAGCACAAGCAAGAATATTCGCATAAAAGGTGACATTTTTAGTACCTTTGACGTTGTCTGCTTTGCGAAGAATGTGTGAAAAAACGTCTCTCAGAAGAAATAGACAACTTCGTACTGCACACACCAAAAGTCTCCGAAGTACTGATCAGCTAATAATAATAATAAACTTGCGGAGAATTCAGCTGTGATTGTAGCTCTAAACGCTTTAATTAATTCCTCGTATTATTATAAATGTTCTCATATAAAATTGATAAGGTGACGAAGCTTTGCATTATCATTCTGATTGCGAAGATTGTGTTCTATAGACTGGTATTGACAGTATATGAAGACTACAATAATCTCTATAAAATTTCAAAAACTTTCAATAAAAAAATACTTGCTTGTGGTTGGTATACATAAATCAATTTAAATAAATAAATTTATTTAAATAAATAAATTGTTTGCAATACTTAATATTATAAATTATAAAATTTGAGAGTCATCGTAGAAAACAAAACTACAATATAACTTGTTTTTATAATGAATTAATTCATAGTTTTGTGGATGATAATTTGAAGTTGCTGTAATATAATAGTGACAATATTATTTAAGATGTGTATTAAATAATTAAAAACTAATAATAAAAAAACTCAGCGATCTATGTATGTCACTCACTACCAATCCAATGTATCTAGTAGACACCGAGGTGCGCTCGGCAGACTTATTCCTGTGCTTTTGGTATTAACCTTTAGAATTGTATTGTGCTTAAACTCATATTTTTTTTAAACAATCAAGAAATGAATCTGTTTATATCAATCTTCTGTTATAACTCATGTCGTAATATGGTTCATGGAGAAAATTGGTTGACTCCCTTTTCCTATGGAAGGTGAAACTCCAACGAGAGTAAGGAGCGGAACTTGAATACCATAAACGAGTGAGTCCGGGTTATTTACTTCCTCTGGTTGAGAAATTAAAATTTTATCAAATTTCTGGATACATAACATATATTATTACGATAGGGATGTAGACTCATATAATGGAATACACGACAACATAAAAAATTTTTAGACATGAAAAATTGAAACCTCACTTGGTTTGGTATTTGTTTAAAAAATAGTGTATATTTTAAACTGAATCTTCTGTCATGTCACTTGCAGATATTGTTAAATGTAGAATTGAATATACTAACATATTATTTATCTTTATTGTACATATTATACATCATAAGTGATGTATACAAAACTTTTTTATTGTGTATGTCGAATATTTTTACAGGAATTGATAAGACCAAAAAAACTAAAAAATATTGACAGCTCTATTGTCCTAATAAATCTTCTTAATTATGGATATATTCGTGTTATTAAGTCCTTGAACACCAATCAGTATGGTTCTTGACAAATGGGTTGAATTTTTAAAAGTCACTACTTTCATTAAATTTCACGTTGGATAATAAAGTTTCGAATATTGCGTCCCTGGTAGTTTTTGTAATAATTGCTGGAATTTTTTAAAGTTCTAAATCAAAAAATTTATTTACCATTATCAAATAGAGATTATCTTTTGTTAACAAAAAAAACCAAACAATCATCTCATTTCTATATATTAATGTTATGTTAAGATGAAATGTAAATGGAACAACTATTTTTTATAAGTACCTCAACTTTTATAAACCTTACTTTATAGCAATACTAAAAGTTTATAATCGCAGATAGACACAATGATATATAGCATCATTACATATACCTATATGACCAACTATGTAGCGTATTTGTATATTCGTCATTGCCTGAACAGACAAATTCCATTGACTGTACTGATTTTATTTATATTTTGTAATTATTTTTGTTATTGTTTTTTGTTTACCTTAGTTGAGTCCACATGGCTCTATTATAGAATATTAATAGAATTTAACAATATTATGTTAAAAAAGTTAAAACAAAAAATTGTTAATTCATATCAATTATGGGATCTCTATAGTCAGTTTCTTAGATAAAGATTGGAATATATTTCGGCTGTTTATAAATGATCAGTTTGGTTTGTTTTTATACTGGCACATTGGCGGTTGTTTATTAAAATATATATAAATTCAAACTAACTTTCGCATTGACTGTATGTGTGAGTAAGGCAAAAGGGTTGATTTTGTTATTGTTTATTTAAATGGAATTTTATTATAATATGATAATAATTAAATATCAGTAAAACCTCTTTGATAAAATTTTACTTAAGATAATTCAAAATGGCACTCCTAAGGATCCAATTATTATTAAATAATCACCACCGTTGGATCATTGTATCACCGTTCGAAACTCGAATGGTTTAAAATCATGGGAAATTTTTAATAAAGCTTTAGATGTACTTTAAGAAAAGGTCTTCTATCTGACTAAGATATTTTTGAAAGTGAGTTCCTATGTAATCTTTGTTTAATCTTCGTGGTGTATGCGTTCGATAGTGATTAAAAGATATGATGCAGTCTCTTTGTCCTTCTAATAGCTGCATCACTCAATCAATCAGCTTTTGAGTCTGGTTTCCTAACCGACAGTGACTGTGCTGGAAACTATAACTATAAGCTTCACATTTTTTTAGAGCATTTTATTGAGATTACTACATCTTTTTCATTGGATTTAAAAGGTGTCAACTGTGCATATTGTATAATCCTTCCATTTTTTAATAAACTGTTCAATACAGAAAGATTTCTACAACTGTTGGCATGATGTTAATGAAGGGTCCATATTCATGAGCAGTTACGAATGCGTTCTTAAGTCATCCAGTCTACTAAGCTTATTTTCTTTATTTGCGGTATTCTTGTCACTGGGAACTCAAAGAAGAGAAATGTTGAGCGGTGCTTTCATCTAGTTCAAAGATGCATAGCAGCTAATATGGTTCTATATGTTCAAATTCATATGTCAACATATTTATCTAGCTAAAAATGGTTGACATTCATTGTACTTACGTTAGACTTATTCAATGTTGAATCCCTTTCTTAAACTTCCGAAACCTGTAGAGTAAACTATTCAGTTGGCAAGACCGATAATTGTTTAATTTGTTTCCTCATACCTCCGCATCTTCACACTCTAATACCACATTTTTTATCATATTTAGTCTGTTACGTTTTTAAAGATAATAATTTGATATATGATATGATAATTTGGTTTCGGACTGATGTGGACAGTACACGCAAGCTAAAGAATATAGCAAAAACGATTACTGGAACGTATTTCCTTTAAAATTTTGCAGCTGTTTAGCTTTTTATGGCAAAGTTTACATGATTGTTCATGAATGAATTTGAATATTTTTGCTATTCTTATGACATTAAATATGTGAGATAATAATTTAAAGTTGCGTGTTTTCTTACATACTTATGTATGTATACATGTTCAGATATATGTACTTTATACTGGTTAATTGTTTATGTGGAATACATAAATAACGCCATTGTTTAAATATTTTTTATACATTATTATTCAAGTGATCAAGCCTATGAACTGAAATCAAAGCTATGAATTCTATTACGATATAATAAAAATGGAGGGTCTTTTATGCAACAGTATATATTTTTAATAGAATCATTAAAAATTTTTTATTAGTAAACCTAAAACCTTATAATACATCTATATATTCTATGTGAAAAGTATTGGGGATTATTAATGGAAGCACTAACAAATCATCATATAATTGAAATTTAATTTGTCACCTTCAAAGAAGTTGCAATATAACTATAATTTCGCTTTATTTAATATAATTTTGATAGACTGAATGAGGTATAGTCCACAGATTCTTTAGTGAATCGATTTAAAATACTTATGAAATAGTAATACTTGCCACGGAAACAGAAAAAAAGCCATATGGGGCCTAGAAGCAGTGTTTGGTTGATAACATTTTTTGACGTTTTCATGCCTAAATCTTTAGCACAACGATGACTTTGTGCCATAGCAGTACACTTAAAAGTATAATTGATAAACCCGTGGTGTAACAAAATGGATAACAAATTGCATTCAAATCATGCATAGTAACACAGTACAGTGCTATAGACTCAGAAAAGGTATATACATACTATGTATGTGTATATTAAATTACTTAACTAATAAGTGTTTCCTGTATGTTGTGCCATATAAGATGGATACGATTTCATATTATAAGCGCATTTCACCCAACCCCTGTATTATCTTACTTTACTACACTCCATCATTAACTCGTATTTGTTTTTGCAAGATATCGTATAAGTCTATTGGATTTCATTGGGTTACAACAGCAGTATTAAAACGCACATGAATTTTGTACCAACGTGAGTGCTCTATTTCAGCATTAATTTCCTGAAAGTGTTCCATGCCGTTCACATGTGTTTTAGGCTGGTACTACCAGAATGTCAATAAAACACTTAAAATTGGTGTTATTTACAGAAAATATTTATTTATTATATTTAAATCAATACAAAATGAATACAAACGCCATTATAAGAGTAAAAGATTTAATATGACTCGATGCTATAAACAATTCTTAGTAATTATTTGACCAGCCTGTGCTACTACATTTAAAACTAAAATATTAAGCGGTTTTCTTAAACGCTTTCTCAACAAATTCTATGAAATCATCGTATAAGACTTGTGGTAATTCCATTGCAGGGAAATGTCCACCATCGTTATGATACGTACTATGCACTATGTTAATAAATCTGTCTTTAAGTTGGAAATCACTGGAGTGGGAAAGTTCATGTCGGAAACGAGCACAACCTGTTGGTGCTTTAATAGGCACTCTATCGATTTGTAGTGCCTGATTTTCTTTATTAAACATTTCAGCATACAAACGCTGCGATGTGGTTATTGAATTGGTGACATAGTATATCATTACATTATCCAGTAATGCATCCATAGTATATCGTTTCGTAAGACCACCATCAGCTAACTTTTTATAATCGGCATTTGTCCAGGTTGAGAATTTTTCCAAAATATAAGCAGCCAATCCCACTGGATTATGCAATAACGTTGCGCCGATAGTATCAGGTTTGGTAGCTTGGATATGGCAATAGCCCATTTCTTCCATTAGCGTAGAGAAAAATTGGCCGAGTGAAGGATAAAAATCATGATGAGCCTTATGTAAAAAGAATCCAGGGAATATATGCATTAATACCATTTTAATATAGTTGACTGGAGCACCATTTATGCACATATTTGAATGATAAGCTAGTGCATTTTCGG